TAATTATTGATTAGTATTATTTTCAATTTCTGGTTTGACTCTGGTATTTGTATATGAATCTATTAATGAAGGGGAGGGGGATGGCTGGGCATATAAGGGGCATTTGACCTCCATTGCTGTTCCCACCCTCTGGAATTTGACTTGCCAATCAATGATTCATAAATACACAACCAAGTAATAATAATAATAAGTATACTTATAGGGATATAATTTAGTCTGCAGTCTGCATTTGTCGCACACCATATAATTTGTCAAAGGTGGGGGAGTTTGATCCGATTTGAAATGCAAGAGCAAGTAGAACAATCAAAATGTTTTCATCCTTGTGCTTCTCAGTTTACATGTAATAGACCATTTTACAGTTCTGTGAAATGTAACCAAGCCTCTGTATGAAAGCGAGGTTAGGGGTGACCATGAGATGATAGAGATCAGAAACTAGTTTACATAAGAACAGAATAATTTACATTTGAAAAGAAGGAAGGTTTGTATCACAACAAAGTCACCTCCAGCCTCATTTCTGTTCAAAGGCCTGGATTCTAAGCACACAACTGTAAAATGGACTATTGGACACTTGCACTTGTGTGCCAAGTAAAAACCAGGCTTTAGATGGGAAGGTGCATGTAGGCGTCTTAGTGCAAAATTAATATTATCTACAATTCATAAGTATGTGTAATAGAGGTAATGAATGTTTTGTGTTTATAGACTGATTTAGATAGGGACTTTATTCATACAATATAACTTAATACAACTATAGTGGAAAAATCCATCAGAGAAATTTATAATAATATATGCTATTATAAACACAAGCCTCAGATCAATGAAGCCTGCTTTTCTACACGGAAAATAAACTATGAATAAACTTAAGGTCTACACAATAACAAGCATAAAGGTGCAGCCAAAATATTTAAGCTTATTCAAATACATTACATTTTATTTGTTTTCGGTTCAAAGCCTATCGATCGATGATCGATCGATCGAATTGTACACCTTCGAATGCCAAATTACAAAAGTTCAAATACTTTTTATATTGGAATTGGAATCAAAAGATTAGCTCAGTTAAACAATAAGCTTAATTAATTTTTGTTATAAATCAAACTTAGAAATAACATTTACCGTACTTACCAAAGATCAGTTGAACGCGGCAATGTGCGTAGTTTGCCTAAAATATTCCCTGCTGGAACCGTCCTGTTCCCGGTGCTTCAATGAAGTTGTATAAAGAAACATGATGTAAATTCGTGAAAGAAACATTTCTCAAACCGAGGAACGAAAGAATTGCAGAATGTATGCGTTTGTTGGCATCGGAACTCCTAAAAGATCTATCTTTTAAATGTGTAAGACGAGAAAATTCAGAGAAATACCGTCCTGAAAAATCGTAAGCAATCCGCCATTTTGTTTTCCTGTGCGATCGGGCTACTACCCCGACCCACCCGACCCCCAATAACTACCAAATATTGCACCCGCAGTGTTGTTTAGTGTTGTGATTTCCCAGGCATTATGCGCTGGTCAGCGGAATTACCAAGAAAAGTTATAAACACCTATAAACACCTATAAACTAACAAATTTTCCCCAACCATAACGATCAGCTCATTCTTCGTTAAAAACTAATTACCACGCACAAGTATAGAAGTATCTTTCTGCATAATTTTGTTGCATTTCACAGAGTTTGTAATTTGTGCATGTGAGGAAAGAGCACAAGAAACCAAAGTTTTCTCTCCTCTGGTTTGCAATTTAGACACTTCAGGCAAAGCATGGAATTGTTTAAGGTATCAGCCACCCTTAAGGACCGTCTGCGCGCGGATCGCTGTAGCGTTAGTTGTTTTTATAAAAAACCCTATAAGCCATATATTTTTTGAAAGCTTAATAATTCCAGATTATGGCTTTTTACTAAAAAAAACGATAAACTTAAATGTGTTTCGAAAATGGGAAGCTTTGTGTAAAAGTACATGTCTTTATAAATCATGTTCCACTCCTGTGCTGTAAGAAATGAGATTAGCTGGGTAAGAAGTTTTCCTATCTTCCACAGTTATTTTCACAGGCACAGTATGCGAATATTGGAGTAAATAAATGCACGCGGGTCGCACGCTAGCGACTTGTGCGCTGTTTGTGTCGCAGAATCAATTCAACCTGAAATTAACTTTAGGTAGTATTTGTACAGGGCGACTTCATTTTTGCTTTTAATGGATTTGATGGAAGTGACTTTGCCTTGACTCTGGAAGTGGTAGGAGAAACCTTTGTCGCTCGCTATGAAATCGGCCGTGCAGCGCAGACAATTATTGTATGTAACTGGATAATTGAAGATATGACTGAAATGTCAACAGCTAATTACAGAAAAATAATGAAGAAAATGTTTCATGTTCAATAACTTTCCACAGAAATAACTTTTTGAGGTAGAATTTTTTGGAAATAAAAGCTCTGCGAGATCTACCAGAATTTCAAAAAATTGAAAATTTCACAAAATGGTAATTTTGAAGGGTGGCTGATACCTTAAGGGTTCTTTAAGCAGACTCGTTATCTAGTTTGTAGCTAGAAACAAGCAACAGTACAGTGGCAGTTTGCATCTAAAATGTATCAAAATTGTGTAATTGGATGGCACAAGTAACAATATTGGTCCTGTAGAATATGGCACGGAAGATTTTAGGATGTTACAAGCTTCACTTCCTCACTTCTGGTACGAAGGTGTGAACGAGCTTAAAGTGCAACTAACCCCCAAACTTTTTTCGTTTAAATAAATTTCCTTGTTACCCTGATCACGTCTGCGAAAAAATTATCGGCGTAACTATTTTCATTATTTTTCTATGAATTTTCAAAGTACGAAAAATTGGCTTTTTGTATCCCACGACCGAGGATTAAAGGGAGAATGAATCGAGTGACTTGTGACGTAACGGCGGGAACGGATTGTTTACTGCGAAGAGAGCAATGAGTGCGAAATTGTGATAGCACGAGTCAAAATATTTCTAAAATGCCAGGTAGATGTGTTCTAGGAGGCTGTAGTAATACAGCTTCTTTAGAAAAAGGTATTGGTCTACATGCAATACCTTTCTTTGACGATAGTCGACCCGAAGCGACGAAAAGAAGAAAACGGTGGGTAGCCTTCATGAATACAAAACGCGTGCAGTGGAAGCCATTGAAAAGCTCTGTGATCTGTTCCAGCCGCTTCCAACCTGCAGATTTTGAACGTAGGTTTGAACCCTTTCGGAATTTGGATGTGTGCATCGCCCTGTTAGACTTGACATGGCGATTGTTGATATGTTTGGCATATTCTTCAGTTAACTCAAAATAGTCGTTGGTCATAGATGTTACCATCTTGACGATTTCAGATGAAGTGAACATTCACAAAAAATATATATGTCAAAGATTGTGACAATCGGATCGGAATACTAATTCAAAATCTGTAACGGCCAGGGTATCCAAATACTAATTTAAAAAATCAACCATGTGTCCGGTTCGAACCAATCACGTTACATTTTATTGGACCAGTCAGAGTGCACTCTTTGTCGGCAAATTCGGAATAATAATTAGCGTTGGTTTAACCGTTAACATCGGCGCACATTTACACAAACAAACTTTATTACGAACATGGCACAAAGACGATCGCGTAGACTTGCAGGCTTGAGTCCTTTAACGTTTGAAGACCCACTATGCATATTCTGTTTGGCAACCAAGAGTGAACGACGTTAACGACGTTACCATTGAATATGAAAGAAATGACGAAGACCAAACCAACCAAGCCATTTCAGATGTTGGAGCTACGTTAACGCGGTTAGATCAAGCCATAATGGCACTCAACGCCAGGGTACATGATTGGGAAGGGATTCAGCGAAGGATCAATAATGTAAGTTAGTTTTTATAAATGTTGTCATGATGCAATGTTGCTAACCATGTGCGTTCTTTGTTTGAATACCAATTCTTTGTTGCTAACGCACGTACACACACTAAACACTAATTGTGCAATATTATTCTTTTTTAGTTTGGAATATATTACCCACTTGGTGCTGATGATTTCGTATTTCTGATGGAAAGGATAGTACACAAGATGGAACGTTCGCCGAACGGGTTCATTAACGTTGTTCTAGAATTAGGAATTTGTGATCCTGACAGTGTTTAACCAAATTATTTTTCGCAGTTTCTTGGAACATGTTTTACCAGAAGAAATCGATCAATTTTGTGCTATTTTTATAGAATACAACGAGCGCGACATTCAGAATTACCGTATAGAAAACATTGTATTATTCTAGTATTATTTCAACATAAGTCGGGTCGCATAGCTAGTAGAGCACGCACATTTCCCGCACTGTAAAATAGGTGAGAAGTTTTGATAATATAATGTTTTAAACCAACACCGAGTCTGATATTTACTTTTATTAAATACTGCGCATGTGTTCGATCTTAATGTCTCCCACCATGTTAAGAAATCTAAGAGATATAAAACGCGTAAGAATTCTCAGAGTTCTAACAAATCCACCTCCCTGAATAGAGATGCAAAAGTCAAACGGAGGAATCCTCCCTTGAATAGAAATGCAAAAGTCAAACGCGGTGGAATGGTTACACTCGTGGACATTTGCTTTGTTTACGTAGTATGGGTATAATGGTTTGTGCACTAATTTTTTTGAATCGGTCTGCCTTTCTCAGCGGACCAACATAAATACAGAAGAATTATTTTTATTGAATATAGTACGCATGCGTCCGGTCTAAATGTCTCCCACAATGATACAGAACCATGAAGATATAAAACGTATAAGAACCACACTCGGAGTTCAAACATATCCCAGAGTGTTTAACGTACTCTTCACATACACAAAAGACCCACAAAGCTGGTCTTGGTGGTACACTGGTGTGTTGTGACCATGAGCTGGTCTTGGAGATGTACCTTGTGTTGACTTCAGTGGGAGCGTGCTAATTTTTAGATCGGTCTGCCTTTCTTGGCGGACCAACACATTCATAAATAATGAAAAGGAATAAAAGTTTACCACGAACAGGATTTGAACCCGGGCGCATAAAAAATTTGCCACGACCAGGAATCGAACCCGGGTTTCCGAGGCCACAACTCGGCGTCTTAACCACTTGACCATCGAAGCACACACAAAACACAAAATGAATTATACGACAGATTGTAACGCATCATAAAATTGTTTTAATTTTATACAAATCTTTTAATACAATCTTTTTAATTTATACGATTTTAATTTATACTGTTTTAATTTATGTACATGGAAGCGAGGTAAACGGATATAGGTGAGCCAATACCACTACTATCTGCATACTGTGTGAGTTTTAATGTGTTTCTTTGATCGATCTCTATACCTTTTATTTCACTTGAGTGCCTTATCGCATTACTCAGAATCTCTATGCCGATAACAAACAAGCTGCCAGAAAGAGGACAGCCTTGCCTGACTCCCCTACCTAAATTAAACTGTCTGGTGGCAAAACCATTGTTTAAGAAACAGAAGAACAGTTGCAGTATGGCCAATGCCTTCCACCTTGCTGGTTGCCCGAGAAGTGCCCTGCGTGACTTTGTGGCAGTAGCTGAACTAAAAAACGACGAGACGAAAGGGAGCACGACCTAGTTATATATGACACGAGGAGCAGTTCCGTGAAGGAGTTGGAGACGGATTTCAGAAAGCAGTTGAGGCGGCATTTGCCAGTAATGACAAATATGACGCGAGAGGGCAAGTTACTGCCTTTAAAGTTTGATGACGGATTTTACGATTGCCACAAAGCTAGTCTTCAACTCAAAAACGCCACATTTGCAAAAGTCAATAATCAACAATGAGTGCTTTGGTAGTCCTTTGGTATTAATATTAAAAACATAATATATTTAACAAAAGAGTACAGACGCACGGCGAACGATTTGAATTTTTTTTTAATTTATTTTTTATTTTATTTTTTTTTTTATTATTTATATTTTTTACGAACGATTTAAAATTCGTATTATTGATGTACATTGAATTTCCTATGGAATATTTCCAGTTTGATGAAAAGTTTTCTCTGTTTTGAGACGGTGATGCGATACAAGATATAAATTACTACTTACATTTATGTATTTCACACGTATCATCTGCTTTGCCTTGGTGGGGCATTTATTTCATTCAGGGCATTGGGGCTTAGATAAGATTTCCAATATGGCGGACAGATGAGATCATGGTTATCGATCGCACCGATAGTTTTTGAATTTTTTCGGTAGTTCTCACAGCAACTTTAAAATGAATTGTACCCCCTCCAGTGCAGTTAAGGTTACCGTAGACCTTCAAGGGATGATTTTTCGCGATTTTATTTTTTCTAGCCTGCAAGGGGAGGGAGAGGGGAGTTCGGGTGCGAAGCGCGAGGAGAGAGCATGAAGCGCGATCGGCAGGGAGGAGGCTGGGGAGGGAACCGCCTGCTATAAGAATTTGATCATTTCTGATTGGTTATTTGAACAATGAGTTGCATTACTGTCACGCAATGTGAAGTTTCTGAAACATAATCAAAATGGCGGCCAATGCGGATGCTTTGTCGAGAGCTTTATCTGATTTGAACGTTGTTGCCAGTTCACAAATTATCTTGAAACCAGAGCAAGAAGTAGCTGTAAAAGCTCTTTTAGATGGTAAAGACATTTTGGCGGTCTTACCGACCGGGTACGGTAAAAGCCTGATCTATCAAATGTTTGTTCGCGCCAAGGACTTCTAGATGAATGGTAAAGCAATGATTGTTGTCATCTCTCCGTTAATAAGCATAATCAAAAACCAGCTACAAGATAAGGAATTACTGGGATATTCTGCGGTTGATTACAACGTCTTATTGCCTGCAGAAATTCACCAATGTAACTTCAAGATTATGTATGCAACCGCAGAGAAAGTCAAGGAGAAGACCTTCCGAGAAATCGTGATCGACCCCAGTTATTCATTTCATCAAAATATTTGTGCTATTGTGGTTGATGAATCTCATACAGTTGAAACATGGACGGGTAAAAGGTAAGGAAGCTATGCTATGGTTTCATTTCTAAGAAATAACTGATTTCTTCGAGTTTCACGAGAAATGTAATGTCAGTTTAAGCTTACTTTATCTTGGGTTTTGTAGGAAAACTAATTCCAAGAGCAGAGGCGTGTGGAGAATTGGCGGTCCTTAGATCTTTGTGTAAAGAAGGTGAGTCTCATTTTATTCTTGACAACTCTATGTGGAATGATTTCATTCTGGCTAGATATAAAATTAATGTAAGCCCATGGACTCATGAACTTGGCCATATACTGGATCTTGAAATTACCCGTAAGTCAGACAACCTTATTAGGGGTCAACCCGCGCCCGACATTCTGTTTTCGGATCATCTGACACTGCTATTCAAACTGCAAACAGCTCGACCACCCCTTAAAGTTGACCGTGTTTCATTTAGAAAGCTGCGATCAGTTAATAAGGATGCATTTATGAATGACATTTGTGATGGCGAACTTTCTCAAAGTGATATTGACGACCCCGATGAGCTTGCTGCCTTATTCGACAATACATTGCGTTCCCTGCTGGATCGCCATGCTCCTGTTAAGCATAAGAATATTACTGTTCGACCTTGTGTTCCATGGATGAATGATGAAATTAGATTGGCTAAACGACAAAAGAGGAAAGCTGAAAGGAAATGGAGAGCTTCTAAAGCACACATCGATTTATTGTCTTATCGCACTCTGAGAAATCAAGTAACATTTTTGATGAACAGGGCTCGTCATGATCACTACACAAACTTTATCAATGAGAATAGTGCCGACCAGAGGAAATTATTCAGAGCAAGCAAGTCCCTGCTAAATTTATCCAAACGTTCTGGCTTTCCACCATCTGCTAATGATTATCAGCTGGCTAATGATTTTGGTAAATTCTTCACTAAAAAAATTGCTGACATCAGGTCTGAAATTGCAAACCAGGTCTGTCTGCCTGTCACCAGTATCACCATTAGTAGTGCGACTGACTCCTCTTTTTCAGAATTTAATCTGCTACCTGAATCTGAAGTACTTGATCTAATCACTGCATCTTCTAAGAAGTATTGTCCTCTTGATCTTATTCCAACCAAGCTTCTTATTGAATGTATCGACATGCTACTACCTTCGATCACAAAAATAATTAATCTTTCACTCGACTCTGGCTACTTCTCGCATACTTGGAAGTGTGCTTTGGTGCGGCCGCTGCTGAAAAAGGATGGATTAGACCTTGTCTTTAAGAACTGTAGGCCAGTGAGTAATTTGGCATATATCTCAAAGCTGGTTGAGACTGTTGTTGCCAAGCAACTACAACATTATTTATACTGTAACAATCTGTTCCCAGTGCTACAATCAGCTTATCGTCAGAATCACAGCACAGAATCTGCACTGCTTAAAGTTATGAATGACATTCTCCTTAATATGAACAATCAACGTGTTACTCTGCTACTTCTACTCGACTTGAGTGCTGCCTTTGATACAATTGATTATGACACCCTGTTACATCGACTGCAGTACTCCTTTGGTATACAAGGAAAAGTTCTCTCCTGGTTTTCATCTTATTTGTCTGGAAGAACTCAGCGGATAATGATTAATGAGTCGCTCTCTAAGCCTTTCAAATTAGAATGCGGTGTGCCTCGGGGTTCCTGTCTAGGTCCCTTATTGTTTACATTGTACACGAGTAAGCTTTTTGAGATTATTAAAACTCATCTGCCCGAGGTCCATTGTTAAGCTGATGATACACAACTTTACATCTCATTTAGTCCAAACAACAAGTCTGACCAGCTTTCTGCGGTGAAGAATATCGAAGACTGCGTCAGTGACATTCGTTCGTGGATGTTGAATGATAATCTTAAACTAAATGACGACAAGACTGAATTCCTCATTATTGGTACACCACAACAACTGGAAAAAGTGGATATTATCAGTATTCGTGTGGGCGACTCGAACATCCATCCCGTGCCCATCGCAAGAAATCTTGGTTCCTGGTTTGATTCAAGGCTGTCCATGGCAACGCATATCACAAAAATCTGTGGCTCTTCATTTTACTATATCTACAATATTCGTCGCATCAGGAAATATCTTTCACAGCAGTCAACTGAGACTCTCATCCATGCATTCGTAACGAGTCGCCTCGACTACTGCAACAGTCTTTTATATGGACTCCCAGATTGCTTGTTAAACAAACTGCAACGGGTACAGAATGCTTGTGCTAGACTGATTTGTAAAGAACGAAAATTTTGCCATATAACGCCGCTTATTTCTAAGTTACACTGGTTACCGATTAGATACAGAATTGAGTTCAAAATACTTTTAATTACTTTTAAGATTCTTAATTTTTTAGCTCCTATTTATTTATCATCTCTTATTTCTCTTAGGCCCCTATCGAAATATTATCTTAGGATTTCCAGTGATAAACTTTTACTTAGTTATCCATATTTTAAATCTAAAGCTACCCTTGGTGACCGTTCTTTTACCTGTACTGCACCGAAACTCTGGAATGCGCTACCATTTGACATAAGGAGCGCCAACACTATTGGTATTTTTAAAGCCAGGTTAAAATCTCACCTTTTTCGTCGGGCATTTTTATCATAGCTTTTTATTGTAATTTTATCTTTTAATTGTAATTTTAATGGCTTTGTTATGCGCATTTCAACATTTTTATGGAATTTGCGCAATATAAATGTTATTATTATTATTATTATTATTATGGACTTTAATACATGTATGTTCAGGGGACTTGTTTATGGCTACATCCAGAAATATACACTGCATAAAACTGATTGTCAGAATTTTATGGTAAATACATTTAGCCCCTAGCAGGAAGATTTGCTTGGGAATTTACATCCACTTTAATTGATCATTAGGAATACCAATATTGGCCTTAACTGGAACAGTGGACGACATAACACAGGCAACAATATGTAGTGAACTCTCTCTAAAGCCAAACACTACAAAGCTATTCATTAGCCCTAACAGACCAAATTTAAGGATTTCTGTTAGCAAGGTCAAAAAGGATGTGATGGAGAGCCAGCTTGACTGGCTGGTAGACAAAGCAAAAGAAAAAGGAATCGAAACACCAAAAACAATAATTTTTTGCAATACACTGAAAGATATAGCAAGTGTAGTTAATTTGCTATTGC